TTTATTGAGACTAAGTTTTGCTCTTGTTGTCCAGGCTGGGGTGCAGTGACAGGATCTGCAACCTCCGCCTCCCAAGTTCAAGCAATTCCCCTCCTCAGCCTCCAGAGTAACTGGAATTACAGGCAAGAGCCCCCATGCCCAGCTAATTTTTGTATTTTTAGTAGAGACAGGGTTTCTCCATGTTGGTCAGGCTAGTCTGGAACTCCCGACCTCAGGTGATCCACCCATCTGGGCCTCCCAAAGTGCTGACATTACAGGTGTGAGCCATGGCGCCCAGCCCCCTCTACTTTCTTAATGAACTTGCTTTTACTTTACTCTATGGACTCACCCTGAACTCTTTCTTGCACGAGATCCAAGAACCCTCTCTTGGGATCTGGATCAGGACCCCAGTCCAGTAACAGGATGATCACTTGAGACAGGAGTTCGAGACCAGCCTAAAAAACATATTGAGACCCCCCCCATTTCAAATTAAAAACAAAAACAACCAAAAAAAACAGTAATATGGTAAGTACCCTTTAAAAATTAAATGTAATTTCAGTATCATCAAATACCTTTTCTTCTTTCAGATTCTTCAGGCAGTCTCAAAATTTGTGTGTTTTGAGTTTGTTTAATTCAGGCTCCAAAGAAGATCTACAGATTAAGGTATTTTTTCTCTTAATGCTAATAAGCAATGCCAGAGGTAAATGTAATCAAGTTTATATGCACCCATGTTCTCACATTTCAGATGGGAAAAATAACATTCAAGGAGACTACTTGCTCAGGGTTGATGAGCTAATAAATGGCAGAACTTAACCGAGGTCATTTAGAATCTGGGGAAGATAATAGTAATCTATTGATGAGATATAGGCTTGGGACTCCTCTGCAGATAACTGGTAGTGTAAGTCTGAGTGCACACAGGGAGTATGTGCGTTGTGAAGAGACAACCAGAACTCCGAATTCTGCAATCCTCTCATGGTCTTCATTTATTTATGTGTTCTTTTCTCAGTAATTATTAAACATTTAAAACATATATATTAAAACTCTGTTACAGTTTAGAGGATTGAAAACACTCAGTTTCACTTTTTTTTTTTTTTTTTGAGACGGAGTTTCGCTCTTGTTACCCAGGCTGGAGTGCAATGGCGCGATCTCGGCTCACCGCAACCTCCGCCTCCTGGGTTCAGGCAATTCTCCTGCCTCAGCCTCCTGAGTAGCTGGGATTATAGGCACGCACCACCATGCCCAGCTAATTTTTTGTATTTTTAGTAGAGACGGGGTTTCACCATGTTTACCATGGTTGGTCTCGATCTCTCGACCTCGTGATCCACCCGCCTCGGCCTCCCAAAGTGCTGGGATTACAGGCTTGAGCCACCGCGCCCGGCCACTTTTTTTTTTTTTTAAGACAGAGTTTTGCTCTGTCGCCCAGGCTGGAGTGCAACCTCTGCCTCCCTGGATTCTTGTGCCTGAGCTTACTGAGTAGCTGGGAGTATGGGCGTGCACCTCCATAGCTGGCTAATTTTTTTGTATTTTTAGTAGACAGACAGGGTTTCGCCATGTTGCCCAGGCTGGTTTTGAACTCCTGAGCTCAGGTGATCCACCCACCTCAGCCTCCAGAAGTGCTAGGATTACAGGCGTGAGTCACCGAGCCTGGGCACTCAGTTTCATTTTAAAGACAGAACTCTCACTCATTTTGGCATTAAAACCCCTTTGGTTGGAAAATGGCTATATTTGCTTATTCCCTTTATCCTTAGAACGAAGGCAAAACCAAATGGAATCAGCTAATAGGTGGGAGGGACAGAATTGAGAAAGGATTACTTACCTTCAGTGATGTAAATTAACCCAAATAATCTATTCTTCCTCTTTGACTACATGCTCTGGGCTGATTACCTTTAGGAATTAAAATGAGTGTTTATCTCTTGCCTCCCACTAGAGCCACGGTGGCCTTTGCCCCTGCCACTCCACTGAAATGTTCCCACGAATTTATCTGTCTTTTGCAGTTCTGATCCACTAGGAGTGGGGTCCTGCTGCCAGGCCCCTGACAGCTGCCCCTCAGTCTCTTTGGCTCATGGGCAGATGACTCCTCCTCTGCCGGCCCCTTCCGACTCATGGCTTCCTGAGGATTTGTCCGTGGCCAGTATTGTCAGCCTCTCTTCTGCCTTCACAGGACACACATGAAGCCAAACACAGCCCCCAAAGTAGCATCCCAGGGGGCAACACTGGATTCTGAGGGGTGGGGGATGAGGGAGGACAGCCAGCGTCACCCAACCAGGGGAGGGTTCCCAGGTGTCCCCGAGGGGGATGTGTCAGAGCTCAGGGACACAGTGTGGGGCAGGACACCAGGACTTGATCGTGGCTTGGTAGGGAGCAAAAGAATGAGGAAAACAGAGATTTTTTTTTTTTTTTTTTTTTTTTTTCTGCTTCAAATACTAGGTGAACAGAGGTTCCATTGATTGAGGTGGAGACGGCTGGGAGAGGGGCAGTCTCCTGGCTTCAGAGTTGAGGAGAAATCAAGATTCCTGTTTTGTCTTGTTTTTGGGACAGTCTCACTCTTGTCCAGGCTGGCATGGAGTAGCGTCATCTCCGCTCACAGCAACCTCAGCCTTCTGGGTTCAAGCAGTTCTCCCTGCCTCGGCCTCCAGAATAGCTGGGATTACAGGAGCCCACCACCATGCCCAGCTAATCTTTTGTATTTTTCATAGAGATGGGGTTTCACCATGTTGCCCAGGCTTGTCTCGAACTCCTGACCTCAAGTGATCTGCCTGTGTAGGCTGCCCAAATTACTGGGATTACAGGTGTGAGCCAGCGGACCCAGCCATAAATTGGTATGTTTAATATATATATTGAACACATGCAATGCTTTTACCTACAAAATCTTTTTGTTTCTCAGTTAAATATATGAGAATATTATTATGAACATTTTTAAACTTCTACAAAGTAGAGAGTATAAATAATGAATCTCCATGCAGCCATTACCTGGTATTATTGTCTATATTTCAATCTAAAAATCACTTTAGTTTGTTTTAGAGCTGGAGCCTTGCTCTGTCACCCAGGCTGGAGTGCAGTGGTATGATCACAGTTTGCTGCAGCCTCCAACTCCTGAGCTCAAGTGATCCTCCCACCTCGGTTTCCCAAAGCACTGGGATAAAAGGCCTGAACCACCATGCCCAGCTAAAAATCACTTAAGAATTATTTTTTTTATCCTATATATGCCTGTAGTCCCAGCTACTCCGAAGGCTGAGGTGGGAGGATCACTTGAGCCTTGGAGGTCAAGGATGCAGGGAACTGTGATCATTCCATTGCATTCCAGCCTGAGTGACAAGCAAGAATCTGTCCCACCCCCACAAAATAGAATTACTTTTTTTTTTCAGGCGAGGCCTTCCTAATAAAATTAAAAAATATATATTATTATAATTTTAGACGGAGTCTCGCTCCGGCAGGCTGGAGAGCAGTGGCACAATCTGGGCTCCCTGCAACCTCCGCCTCCTGGGTTCAAGTGATTCTCCTGCTTCAGCCTCCCGAGTAGCTGGGACTACAAGAGCATGCCACCACACCCAGCTAATTTTTGTATTTTTAGTAGAGATGGGGTTTCACCATGTTGACCAGGATGGTCTCAATCTCTTGACCTCGTGATCTGCCCGCCTTGGCCTCCCAAAGTGCTGGAATTACAGGCGTGAGCCACCGTGCCCGGCCTAGAATTATTATTATTATTATTTTTTGAGACAGAGTTTCGCTCTTGTTACCCAGGCTGGAGTGCAATGGCACGATCTCAGCTCACCGCAACCTCTGCCTCCCGGGTTCAAGCAATTCTCCTGCCTCAGCCTCCCTAGTAGCTGGGACTACAGGTGTACGCCACCACGCCCAGCTAATTTTTGTATTTTTAGTAGAGACGGGGTTTCACCATGTTGACCAGGATGTCTCGATCTCTTGACCTCGTGATCCACCCGCCTTAGCCTCCCAAAGTGCTGGGATTACAGGCTTGAGCCACCGCGCCCAGCCAGAATTATTTTTTATTTATAGTATACAAAAATTACTTCGGGCAGGGCTTGGTGGCTCACACCCGTAATCCTAGCAGTTTGGGAGGCTGAGACAGGTGGATCACTTGAGATCAGGAGATCGAGACCAACGTGGACAACATGGTGAAACCCTATCTCTATTAAAAATACAAAAATTAGCCAGGTGTGGTGATGCATACCTGTAATCCCAGGCACTTCGGAGGCTGAGGCAGGAGAATGGCTTGAACCTAGGAGGCAGAGGTTTCAGTGAGCCAAGATCCCGCCACTGCACTCCAGCGTGGGCAACAGAGCCAGACTCCGTCTGAAAAAAGAAAAAAAAAAAATGACTTCGATTATTTTGCAAACATTTCTTTATAAAATCAGGGTGCATCTGTGAGCCAGGCAATGTTTTATACAGGCACTCTCACTGTTTTTCAAGACAAGGTCTCAACTCTGTCGCTTAGGCTGAAGTGCAGTGGGACGATCTCAGCTCACTGCAGTCTCAACCTCCCGGGCTCAAGTGATTTTTCCACCTTAGGCCCCAAAAGTAGCTGGGACTACAGGCACCTGCCCAACCACCCATGGCTAATTTTTGTATTTTTTGTAGAGACAAGATTTCACCTTGTTGCCCAGGCTGGTCTCGAACTCCTAAACTCAAGTGATCCACCCACCTCTGCCTTCCAGAGTGCTGGGATTACAGACATGAGCCATCGAGCCCGGCCGACACCCTCACTGTCAATCTTCTATAAAGAATATCTTTCAGCAGGTAGCCCAATTGCAGGCTCTGGGTTGAACTCTCTAGTCTTTCTCAACTTCTCTGTTCCTTTTTACTCATCTAAATAAGGCGGGCTCTGGCTATTTGCATGAGCAAATGCAAACCTGTCCTTTTCACTTATTACAAAAAAGACTCTGAAGTTCTTGGATCAAGGCCAAGGACACTTAACTGCTTACAGGCCGGAAGCCTCCCCCACCTTTTCTTGCCCCTACCCCTCCCACTTCCAGGTAGAAGCCGGCCTTAGCTGGGTGGAGTCCTCACTGCTGCACGTTCCGGGTATGTTTAGTTAGTGTGTAGTGTGTGGCCGCTTGCGTGGGTAAAGGACCGCCGCAGAGTTCCCCCTGCTCCAGGCAAGCTGGGAGGTAAGATTGTGGGTGCCAGAGACTGGAGTGAAACCTGTGGCCTCTTGAGCATCTGCTCTGTGCCTGGAGGCAGCTTGCCCCTCACAAGGGAACCTGAACTCATCATCAGGTTATTTTATGTTTATATTTATTTATTTTTTTGAGACTCAGTCTCACTCTGTGATTCAGGCTGGAGTGTGGTGGGGCGATCTCAGCTCACTGCAACCTCTGGTTATTTTGTTTTTATTTTGGTTTTTTTTTTTTTTTTTTTTTTTTTTTTGAGACGGAGTTTCGCTCTTGTTACCCAGGCTGGAGTGCAATGGCGCGATCTCGGCTCACCGCAACCTCCCCCTCCTGGGTTCAGGCAACTCTCCTGCCTCAGCCTCGCAAGTAGCTGGAATTACAGGCACGCGCCACCATGCCCAGCTAAATTTTTTGTATTTTTAGTAGAGACGGGGTTTCACCATGTTGACCAGGATGGTCTCGATCTCTCGACCTCGTGATCCACCCGCCTCGGCCTCCCAAAGTGCTGGGATTACAGGCGTGAGACACCGCGCCCGGCCAGAAAACCCGTCTTTTAAAAAAAAAAAAGAAGAAGAAGAAGAAGAAGAAGTGGTTTGGGAAACCTTTGAAAGATTCATTTTTGCCGGGCGCAGTGGCTCACGCCTGTAATCCCAGCACTTTGCGAGGCCAAGGCGGGTGGATCACAAGGTCGAGAAATCGAGACCAACCTGGTCAACATAGTGAAACCCCGTCTCTACTAAAAATACAAAAAAAAAATTAGCTGGGCATGGTGGCGCGTGCCTGTAATCCCAGCTACTCGGGAGGCGGAGGTTGCGGTGAGCCGAGATCGCGCCATTGCACTCCAGCCTGGGTAACAAGAGCGAAACTCCGTCTCAAAAAAAAAAAAAAAGAAAAGAAAAGAAAGATTCATTTTTGTCTAGGCCATACCAACCTCAACGCGCCTGATCTTGTCTGATCTTGGAAGCTAAGCAGGATTGGGTCTGGTTAGTACTTGGATGGGAGACCGCTTGGAAACACCGGGTGCTGTAGGCTTAAAAACAAAAAAAGAGGCCGGGCATGGTGGCTCACGCCTGTAATCCCAGCACTTTGGGAGGCCGAGGCGGGTGGATCACGAGGTCAAGAGATCGAAATCCACTTTGGGAGGCTGAGGCGGGTGGATCACGAGGTCGAGAGATCGAGACCATCCTGGTCAACAAGGTGAAACCCTGTCTCTACTAAAAATGCAAAAATTAGCTGGGCCTGGTGGCGCGTGCCTGTAATCCCAGCTACTCAGGAGGCTGAGGCAGGAGAATTGCTTGAACCCAGGAGGCGGAGGTTGCGGTGAGCCGAGATCGCGCCATTGCACTCCAACCTGGGTAACAAGAGCAAAACTCCGTCCCAAAAAAAAAAAAAAGAGAGAGATCGAAATCATCGTGGCCAACATGGTGAAATCCCGTCTCTACTAAAAATACAAAAATCAGGGGGCTTTTGAGACGCGCCTATAGTTCCAGTTACTCGGGAGGCTGAGGTGGAAGAATCGCTTGAACCCGGGAGGCGGAGGTTGCAGTGAGCTGAGACTGCTACTGCACTCCAGCCTGGCGACAGAGCAAGACTCCGTCTCAAAAAAAAAAAAAAAAGGGGGGGGGAGCAGACTTTCTGGGGTCTGAAGGGATTTGTACTTGAAGATACCCGAGTCAGTGGAGGGTCATGTTGAGCATTCTGCAGACAGAATTGTTTCAAGTCTGCAGCTGCCTGGGAAACTTTTACGCGGTTGAGCCCCGCCTCCAGCCAGAGCTGTTGAACCACTTTCTTCATAGGGGCGACGCTGGAGGAGCCAGACATCGTGCACGAGGGCTGGGCCGATTCGTGGGTCGGTGGGTCGTGGGTCGGTGGGCCGTGGTGCGTCGTGGGCCGTGGGTCGGCTGGGCGAGACAACTGAGCAGTGGCGCCGTGGGAGCGGGGCTCCGAACTTTTTTCTTTTCTTTTTTTTTTTTTTTTTTTTTTTTTTTGAGACGTCTCACTCTGTCGCCCAGGCTGGAGTGCGGTGGCGCAATCTCCGCTCACTGCAACCTCCGCATCCCGGGTTCAAGCGATTCTCGTGCCCCAGCCTCCCAAGTAGCTACGCCCAGCTCCCAAGACACTACACCAGCTCATTGTTTGTATTTTTAGTAGACAAGGGGTTTCACCATTTTGGCCAGGCTGGTCTTAAACTCCTGACCTCGTGATTCGTCTGCCTCAGCCTCTTTCAAAGTGCTGGGATTGTATGAGAGAGTGAGCCAGTGAGCCACCGCGCTCAGCCCTTTTTTTTTTTCTTTTTTTTTTTTTTTTCTTTTTTTGAGACGGAGTTTTGCCCTTGTTACCCAGGCTGGAGTGCAATGGCGCGATCTCGGCTCACCGCAACCTCCGCCTCCTGGGCTCAGGCAATTCTCCTGCCTCAGCCTCCTGAGTAGCTGGGATTACAGGCACGTGCCACCATGCCCAGCTAATTTTTTGCACTTTTTAGTAGAGACGGGGTTTCACCATGTTGACCAGGATGGTCTCGATCTCTCGACCTCGTGATCCACCCGCCTCGGCCTCCCAAAGTGCTGGGATTACAGGCTTGAGCCACCGCGCCCGGCTTTTTTTTTTTTTTTTTTTTTTTTTTTTTTAGTTTCACTGTGTTGCTCAGGCTGGAGTGCAGTGGCGCGATTTCAGCTCCCTGCAACCTCCGCCTCCCAGTTCAAGTGACTCTCCCATCTCAGCCTCTAGAGTAGCTGAGACTAAGGCGTGCGCCATCAACACCCAGCTAATTTTTGTATTTTGCAGTGGCTCACACCTGTAATCCCAGCATGTGGGGAGGCTGAGGCAAGAGGATTGCTTGAATCCAGGGGTTTGAGATCAGACTGAGTGACATAGCAAGACCTCTAGGGCTGGGCGCGGTGGCTCAAGCCTGTAATCCCAGCACTTTGGGATGCCGAGGCCGGTGGATCACAAGGTCAAGAGATTGAGGCCATCCTGGTCAACATGGTGAAACCCCGTCTCTACTAAAAATACAAAACATTAGCTGGGCATGGTGGTGTGTGCCTGTAATCCCAGGTACTTGGGAGGCTGAGGCAGGAGAATTGCCTGAACCCAGGAGGTGGAGGTTGCGGTGAGCCGAGATCACGCCATTGCACTCCAGCCTGGGTAACAAGAGCGAAACTCCGTCTCAAAAAAAAAAAAAAAAAAAAAAAGTTTTTTGTTTGTTTGCTTTTGAGTTAGCGTCTGCCTCTGTCACCCAGGCTGGAATGCAGTGGCACCATCTCAGCTCACTGCAACTGCCACCTCCTGGGTTCAAGCAGTTCTTGTGTCTCAGCCTCCCAAGTAGCTGCAATTACAGGCATGTGTCACCATGCTAGGCTAATTTGTTTGTATTTTAAGTAGCAACCGGGTTTTGCCATGTTGTCCAGGCTGGTCTTGAACTCCTGACCTCAAGGGATCCTCCTGCCTCAGCCCCACAAAGTGCTGGGATTACAGGTGTGAGCCACCACCAAGCTCAGCCTTTGGAATTTTAGCATTGCTTTAAAAAAAAAAAGATTTCTACTTCACATGTCTACAGTGTTAGGAATATCTACGTTTCAATTCTTAGATAATAAAGTCCTGCGTCTTTCCATAACTGTTACTTCTATGCTCCTTTGGGGAGCATGTTCCTATACATTTGGGAATATGTTCAGTTTTTGTCTATTTTCTTATCTTATAGGTATTTTGCATTTGGACATAATGACATTTTAGTAAATACTAAAAGTTTTTTTCCAAATTTTGTTTATATTCAATTTGTTATCTCGTTTGATTTCACTTCACAAATAGATAGGTCTTCTGTGGCCTATTCAACTGTAGAGAAGCCAGGATAAAAGAGCAAGGTAAATTTGGTAGATGTGATTTTGAGCCATCAGAAAGACATTTTTTTTTTTTTTCAATTAGAGACAAGGTCTCACTTTGTCACCCAGGCTAGAGTGCAGTAGCATAATGACAGCTCACTGGAGCCTTGACCTCCATGGGCTCAAGCAATCCTCCTGCCTCAGAATCCCAAGTAGCTGGGACTATAGGTGCGCATCATCACACTCAGCTAATTTTTAAAATTTTGTTGTTGTTGTTTTTCTTCCTTTTTTTTTTTTTTTTTTTGGAGAGACAGGCTCACTCTGCGTTGCCCAGGCTAGAAATACCTTATCAAGACAAAAGTTTAAAGGGAGATTGTCGTTATTTACCCGACTCCCAGAATTTGGGATGTAAAGCAAATTTCTCCAAGTTATAGACATAGGTAACCAAAGATGTTTCTAATTTGGGTGGTCTCCATGCCTCAGGGCCTAGGCTGTTCCCACAACCCCAGTTAGGATGACTGGTAAGTAGATCGGATGTGGGGATTGTAGTACCAAGTATGTGGAGTAGCTAAGGCACAATAATAAAGGCACGGAAATAAACGACTGGGGCTAGGGGAGGATAATTTGTGTTTGGCTAGAATGTGGTGGAAGTTAGGACCACCTGAAATAAATTCAGGTTTGTTTCACCTTGTTTTGTTTTTAAGAAAAAAATATCTTCTCACCCACAGCAACTATGATTTGAGGCATCAGATGTTTTCCTAACAGAGCTGTGTAGCTTGGCTTCATTTTCTCCGTGCAGCCAAAGGCTGGAAGAGCTGAGCTGTGACTGCCAGCAGGCTGTGCGTGGGACCCCTTTTGGCAGCTGGAATTAAAGGGTCTGATGATTCAAAGGACTTCAAGGGCTACCACCAATGTGAGAAAACAGTGGGACTGTAGTGAGGTCTGTCTCCACTGACTGTCTCCAGGAAGGACGGTGAGATCTAAGAGCATATCTGCTTCTCACTGGAGAAACCCACAGAGCTCAACCACCTTGGTCAAGACCTTCACTGACAGACCAATGGCAAGGGCAGCACGTGTGACCAAACTCAAAGCAGAATCCAAGTGCTCCATCTGTCTGGATTACCTCAGAGACCCCGTCACCATCGATTGTGGGCACAACTTCTGTCGGCCCTGCATCCAACAGTCCTGGGCGGATCTACAGGAACTGTTCCCTTGCCCTGTCTGTCGGCACCAATGTCAAGACAGGCGCTTCAGGAGCAACACCCAGATGGGAAGGATGATTGAAATTGCTGAGATACTCGAGAGCACTAAGAGCAAGAAAAAGAGGCAGGAAAAAAGGACCTTGTGCGAGAAGCACAACCAGCCCCTGAGCGTTTTCTGCGAGGAGGACCTGGTGGTGCTGTGTCCCCTGTGCACTCAGCCCCCTAACCACCAGGGCCACCACGTGAGGCCCATAGAGGAGGCTGCCTCTCATCACAGGGAAAGGCTCCGCAGTTACATCCAGCCCCTGAAAAAGCAACTGGCAGACCTTCAAAAATTAATAAGCACTCAAAGCAAAAAACTCTTAGAACTGAGAGAGAAGGTGGAAAGCCAAAGGCAGGAACTGTCCTCTGAATTTGAGCACCTCACCCACTTTTTAGACCGTGAGCAGCAGGGAGCTCTCTCCAGACTAGCTGAAGAAGAGAAGGACAATCAACAGAAACTCAGTGCAAACATAACAGCATTTTCAAACTACCTTGCCGCACTCAAAAGCCAATTAAATAAGGTAGCAGAGCTATGTGAGCTGTCTGAACCGGAACTGCTGTCACAAATTAAACTTTTCTACGAGTCTGAAAATGAGAGTAGCCCGTCAATCTTTTCAATTCATCTGAAGAGAGATGGCTGCAGTTTTCCTCCCCAGTATTCTGCTCTGCAGAGAATTGTAAAGAAATTTAAAGTAGACGTAACTCTAGACTCTGAAACGGCACACCCTAACCTGATCCTATCTGAAGATAAAAAATGTGTGAGATTTACAAAGAGAAAACAAAAGGTTCCTGGTTTCCCAAAAAGATTTACAGTCAAGCCAGTTGTTCTGGGCTTTCCCTGTTTTCATTCTGGCAGGCATTTCTGGGAGATTGAAGTGGGAGATAAGTCAGAATGGGCTATTGGCATTTGCAAAGATTCTCTTCCCACAAAGGCGAAGAGACCCTCATCGACCCAGCAGGGATGTTGGAGAATTGAGCTGCAGGATGATGGCTATCATGCACCAGGGGCTTTACCAACCCCTCTCTTGTTAGAAGTGAAAGCTAGGACCATTGGCATTTTCGTGGACTATGAGCTGGGTGAGATCACATTCTACAACATGGCTGAGAAATCTCACATCTGTACTTTCTCTGACACTTTTACTGGACCTCTTCGGCCTTACTTCTATGTAGGACCAGATTCACAACCTCTCAGAATCTATACAGGAACAGCTGGTGAATGAGAACCCACCTGTGAGGCTGAACTATTTTACTAGTTGTTTTTTTGGTGGAAGATGTGGACACTATTGTATTAATGTATCTACAGATATAATCCCTCTAGTTTTTTCTCTCTCACAGTTTCCAAAAAGAAAGTTTTGCCGGGCGCGGTGGCTCAAGCCTGTAATCCCAGCACTTTGGGAGGCCAAGGCGGGTGGATCACGAGGTCAAGAGATCGAGACCATCCTGGTCAACATGGTGAAACCCCGTCTCTACTAAAAATACAAAAAAAAAAATTAGCTGGGCATGGTGGCACGTGCCTGTAATCCTAGCTACTCAGGAGGCTGAGGCAGGAGAATTGCTTGAGCCCAGGGGGCGGAGGTTGCGGTGAGCCGAGATCACGCCATTGCACTCCAGCCTGGGTAACAAGAGCGAAACTCCATCTCAAAAAAAAAAAAAAAAAAAAAAAGAAAGAAAGTTTTATGTTGCTCCAACAATTATCTATGAACAGTGCTAGGAATGGCTACCTTTCAGGAATGTTGTGGGGGTTACCGATCGTGTTCATGGACTTGGTGCATCGCTGAGTAGAAGGGTGATTATTTCTGTTTTTCAGAAAGTGCAGATGGAGCTTCCAGGGGATGAACTAGAACAAACTTTTCAACTTTGCCTTCTCAGTGTAAAGGTTGGATTGTGCTATTCCTGACACATACTAGGCAGGGAGCAGCCTGTAATCCTTAGCTAACAGGGCACAATTTAAAGGGGTGGAGTGGGGACCACAGGGAGAGGGTGAGCATTTTTAGCTTTTTTTTTTTTTTTTTTTTTTGAGACGGAGTTTCGCCCTTGTTGCCCAAGCTGGAGTGCAATGGCGCAATCTCGGCTCACCGCAACCTCCGCCTCCTGGGTTCAGGCAATTCTCCTGCCTCAGCCTCCTGAGTAGCTGGGATTACAGGCACGCACCACCATGCCCAGCTAATTTTTTGTATTTTTAGTAGAGACGGGGTTTCACCATGTTGACCAGGATGGTCTCGATCTCTTGACCTCGTGATCCACCCGCCTCGGCCTCCCAAAGTGCTGGGATTACAGGCTTGAGCCACCGAGCCCAGCTACCATTTTTAGCTTTTAACATGGGATGCTTTAACAGTTTTTTTTTTCTGTTATCTCCAGAAGCCACCTACTGGTGGCACTCACTACGTTAGATTTCTTAGAAACCTTCTGCGTCACATAATTTTCATTTCTTCCTGTATTATTTGCTATTTCATTTCTTCCTGTATTCTGTGCATAGTATTTTGAAGAGAGTGACTTGTTATGACACTGGAGAGAACTGGAAAATCTTGTTACTAATGGACATTATTGTTAGACACCATGTCAGAGACTAAAAGATGAATCACTGGGCAGGATGGTGTACCTATGTTGACTCAGAATGTTTTCTTTCAAAGATGGCTAACATTTATGGAGCCCTAACTATGTCCCAGAAGTTGCAGTATTTTCACAACAATTCTGACATGTAGGCAGTAGGTTGTTAACCAAAAAAAAGGATTTAAAATTAAGAAAACAGTTTTTGATGGCTGTGTAATATTCCATGGCGTATATGTACCACATTTTCCCTATCCAGTCTATCATCGTTGGGCATTTGGGTTGGTTCCACGTCTTTGCTATTGTAAACAGTGCTGCAGTGAACATTCGTGTGCATGTGTCCTTATGGTAGAATGATTTATAATCCTTTGGATATCACTCATAGGCGGGTGTTGAACAATGAGAACACATGGACACAGGGAGGGGAGCACTACATACTAGGGTCCGTTGGGGGGAAATGGGGGAGGGATGGGGGTGGGGAGGTGGAAAGAGATAGCATGGGGAGAAATGACAGATACAGGCGAGGGGACGGAAGGCAGAAAACCACACTGCCATGTGTTTACCTATGCAACAATCTTGCATGTTCTTCACATGTACCCCCAAAAATAAAATGCAATAAAAAAAAAAAAAGAGCCGGGTGCAGTGGCTCAAGCCTGTAATCCCAGCACTTTGGGAGGCCGAGGCGGGTGGATCACGAGGTCAAGAGATCGAGACCATCCTGGTCAACATGGTGAAACCCCGTCTCTACTAAAATACAAAAAATTCAGCTGGGCATGGTGGCGTGTGCCTGTAATCCCAGCTACTCAGGAGGCTGAGGCAGGAGAATTGCCTGAACCCAGGAGGCGGAGGTTGCGGTGAGCCGAGATCGTGCCATTGCACTCCAGCCTGGGTAACAAGAGCGAAACTCCGTCTCAAAAAAAAAAAGAAAAGAAAAGAAAACAGTTTTGAGAAAAAAAGTATCCTAGTTAAGGTGAATCAGCCAGTGGTAAAAAGATGTCTAGGGGTACCTTCAATCACTGACAAAACCAGCCCCATAAATGGTTTGTCAATGGAATGCTTTATACATACACAGGAAGTAATAAGGTATTATTTTTCCCTCTGACTATGAAAAAAGAGATGTCCACAGTTACATGCTTAAACTCTCAGGATGCTACACTAACTTAACCGGAAGGATCTGGGTTTATATCTAGATTCCACTAACGTCTGGTAGTGGGCTTGAAGCTATGAAGATGAAGTTATATGTGTTTGTATGCACCAAAGTTAACTTAATTTTTTAAATTTTTTGAGAGATGAGGTCTCACCCTGTTGCCCAGGCTAGAGTGCAGTGGCACAATCATAGCTTACCATAACCTTGAACTTAACTCCTGGGCTCAAGGGATTGTCTCACGTCAGCCTCTGAATAATGGGCTCACACCATCACAGTTAGCTTTTTTTTTTTTTTTTTTAGATAGGGTCTGCCTCTGTTACCCAGGCTGGAGTGCAGTGACAGGATCATGTTCACGGCAGCCTCGACCTCCCAGTCTCAAGCAATCCTACCACCTCAGCCTCCTGAGTAGCTGGAACCCCAGGCATGCATGCCACCATGCCCAGTTAACTTTTTATTCTTTTTGAGATGGAGTTTCGCTTTTGTTGCCCAGGCTAGAGTGCAATGACACGATCTTGACTCACTGCAACCTCTGCCTCCTGGGTTCAAGCGATTCTCCTGCTTCAGCCTCCTGAGTAGCTGGAATTACAGGCACCTGCTACCCAGTTAACTTGATTTTTTGAGGAGATGAGGTCTCACTTTGTTGCCCAGCTTGGGCTCAAACTTCTAGGTTCAAGTGATCCTCCTGCCTCCACTTTCCCAAAGTGCTAGAATTACAGGCATGAGCCACTGTGCCCAACCTGCCCCAGGCAATTTTAATTAATTTATTTATTTTTTTAGTAGAGACTGAGTCTTACTATGTTGACCAAGCTAATTTTGAACTCTTGGCCTCAGGTGATCCTCCATCCTTGACCTCCCAAAGTGCTAGAAATATAGACATGAGCCACCAGGCCCAACCCAAAAAAGACATTTCTGACTCAGGAAAATGAATATGGCAGGGCATTAGGTGATAACAGGGCTGTTAATTCTGTTAGGTGTGATAGCATTATGATTTAGGAAATGCTTTTATCCAGAGTGAAATATTTAGGGGTGAAATTGTATTTCTGTGATTTTTATTAAAGAGCTTTAGCCAAAAAAAAAATAATAATACAATCAATTAAGCAAATGTGGCAAAATATCAATAATTATTGTGTCTACGTGATGGACATTTCAGTTTATGTACTATTCTTTGTACCTTAAATAAAAAGAACAAGTAAAAATGTTTCCTTTTATCCGTATGTTCTGAGTTACGGTTTCTGTATGACTCTGCCGTTTCTACCTGACATTTGATTGGGCACACTTACAGTTGAATGAACATATTCATCCCTACTCTCCTGTCTAAAATTCAGTTAAATTGTGTATTTTGGCTAGTTTCAAATTTCTTAAGACTTGAGAAACTAGCTATTGACCTATAAATATTATTAACTGTCCATTTCCTTAAAATTGGAGCCATCTTGGTCAGGCTGGTTTCAAATTTCTGACCTCAGGTGATCTGCCGCCTCGGCCTCTCCAAGTGCTGAGATTACAGGTGTGAGCCACCTCACCTGGCCTTTTTCTTTCTTTCTTTCTTTCTTTTTTTTTTTTTTTTTTTTTTTTTGAGACAAAGTTTTGCTCTTGTCATCCAGGCTGGAGTGCAATGGCATGATGCCAGCTCACTGCAACCTCCACCTCCCAGCTTCAAGCAATTCCTCCTGCCTCAGCCTCCTGAGTAGCTGGGATTACAGGCACATGCCACCATGCCCAGCTAATTTTTTGTATTTTTAGTAGAGACGGGGTTTCACTATGTTGACCAGGTTGGTCTCGATCTCTTGACCTCGTGATCCACCCGCTTCGGCCTCCCAAAGTGCTGGGATTACAGGCTTGAGCCACCGCGCCCGGCGAATACTACAATTTTAAAGTTCCACTAGCAAAGAGGATGGTATACACCCTCATTCTCTCTCCCTCTTCCTCTTTCTCTTTCTTCCTCTTCTTTATTCTTTCTTTTATTATTATTTTATTTCTCTTTTTTTTTTTTTTTTTTTTTGAGATAGAGTTTTGCTCTTGTTACCCAGGCTGGGGTGCAATGGCGCGATCTCGGCTCACCGCAACCTCTGCCTCCTGGGTTCAAGCAATTCTCCTGCGTCAGTCTCCTGAGTAGCTGGGATTACAGGCACGTGCCACCATGCCCAGCTAATTCTTTGTATTTTGAGTAGAGACGGGGTTTCACCATGTTGACCAGGATGGTCTCAATCTCTCGACCTCATGATCCACCCGCCTCGGCCTCCCAAAGTGCTGGGATTACAGGCTTGAGCCATCGTGCCTGGCCTCTCTTTCTTTCTTAAAAAAAAAAAAGAAAGAAAGAAATTAGCCAGGTGTGGTGGCATGTACCTGTAGTCCTAGCTACTTGGGAGGCCAAGGTGGGAGGATCGCTTGAGCCTGGGAGGCTGAGGCTACAGTGAATGAAGCATGGTTGTGTCACTGCGTTCCAGTCTGGGTGACAGAGCAAGACTCTATCAAAAAAAAAAAAAAAAAAAAAAAAACTCCTGTTAGGTGGGGACTGAAAAAAGAAAC